GCTCCCCATCGCCACCTGCGTCGCCACCTCAGTCGCCTCAGTCTAAGCTGCTCCAGCCGCCGGCCAGCCCAGCGCGCACCGCCCCACGCACGCGCAGACCCGCCCCGTCGCCCGCCCTAGTTTTCAAACGCACTCAGCTCTTCCATTGGCCGGTCTGGGGGGGCGCGCGCCTCAGGTCTACAAGGCCCCGCCCTCGGCCCCGCCCCACTCGCCGGCTCCCGGCGCTCTCGATTGGCGGTGCCAGGACGCGAATTCGAACGTCGGCCGGTGATTGGCGTAGCCCGCGAAGTCTCCCCGGCTCCCTGGTCCTGGCCGGAGTCCCAGCGGAGCGCGGCCCGGGCTCGGCGGGCAGCGACTTCTTTAGTCCAACGTGGCCCGCGTGGTTCCGAGCTGTTCGGTGCTTGGGCCTCGCTGCGGACTCGGCGTCAGAGGTCCCGGCCACTGGAACCCACAGCGCGCAGTGGGTTGTCAGTGAAGGTCTGTGTGGACCTGCCACTCCTCCCGATGCGGGGTCTTGCGGAGGGCGCGGCGCAGCTGGGGCCCAGATGGGATCGTCTGCCTGAGTGGAGGCAGACGAGCTGGCACCCCGGTATTGCGCCCAGGGAGCCCCTGACCTCCGGCCCTCACCCCGAGGCCACACGCCCTGCTTCCCGTTCGTGCTTCAGGCGAGGAGACCCCTTGTCCGGGATCTAGCCACTGATTGCATAGATTGCAACGCAAAAAGTGGAGTTGGAGATCTGGGCTCGAAATCATCCGCTCAGCCAGCACGTTTCACCCCTTCTTCCCAGGAACGAGGCTCACCCTGGACCCTTAGTCCGTACCTGTCCCAGGGCAAGCTCTAAGCCTCTCACTTTGACCAGATATCTCCCCAAGCCTATCTCCAGTACTTCCTCACTGCCACCTGGGAGCCCTCCCTAGAAGGGAAGTGCACACCAGCTTGCTTAACTGGCTACTGCCAGCCACAGCTGAGCATTCTGTTCATTCAGAGGTTATCAGGCAGTGCCCACCTGGCCTGTCTTTCAAGAACCAACTTACAGCCCACCTCTTCCATGATACAGTCTAACAAGGAAAAAAATGCAGTCTCCTGGGTATGTGATGGAGGACAGAGTGGCTTTGCCTGGAGAAGCTAGGGAATCTGGGTCATGGCTCAGACCCCTCCTCCCACAGCCTCAATTAGCTGTCATGTCCCCTATGTTCCCCCATCCCTCGTGCCCCTGAACTCCATGGTGCCCAGGCTCCCTGCTAGTCTGGAGCAGGAGATGGAGAAGTAAGGAGGAGATGGATCATTATGACAAAGGATATGAAAGTCTCAGTGGTCCCAAAATGACAAGGAGCTGAGGCCCTGAAATTTGGAGGTGGTAAGGGATTAGGGGTGATATGCACAGGAAGTCCAGTGGATAGAGCTGAACATGCTTGGGGCCTGCTCCCCAGATGTCGCAGATTTCTCATCCTTCCTCACACCTTTATTTCCATTGGTTACTATTTCCCAATTTGTTACTTTGTTGCCCTCCTCACCTGCATTGTTACTTTGTTACCAGTTGCCCCTAGGCAGAGGTACATTCTTTCAAGTGTTAGATTTGGGGTTCACCTTGAAGGCATTAATAAGCCGGACCCACCAATGAGAGAGTCAGTTGTCATTCACCGCTCTAACTCCCCTGTAATACTACATCACTGAGTCCACACCAGCATTCCTGGTTACTCAAAGGTCCTTAGTTGTCCTCTGTCTTGTTCTTTATGCCCTTATGGCTCACCTTCAGAGGTAAAGTTTTCCTATTTTTCAGGAAACAGGTGTTCTTCTCTTGGCTATGCTGTAGCCACACCTTCCCTAGCCACCCCCACCCCACTCCCCCAGCCCTAGGGGTAAGAGTCCCTAAGGCACAGTGGCCTGATAGTTCCAGAGAGTGTGAGAAGAGCCCGTTTCCCATTGGGCTTCAGGAGGGCGAGATAACTCATTGGAAAAGTCTAGACTGGGAAGTTCAGGGAGATTCCTGCTTGGAATAAGATGGCAATTGAAGGCCTGGGGGTGAATGAGAAAGGAATTCAAGGGTGGCAGGGTACAGAGGGGAGAGTAAGGAAACGGAAATAGACTGGGCACTCGAAGAATCCCGACATTCAGGGAGAAAGGAAGAGGAGCCTTCGGAGGAGGTAGAGAAGGGGCCATAGAGGGACAGAGAACCAGACTAAGTGGGGAGAGGCCACAGGAGGGGCTTTCATCAGAAGACTACAGGGGACATTGTGAAATGCCATAGAGAAGTTACATGGAAAAATAAGGGAGAAACCAGTGGGTATGGTGGCAAGGGGTGTGATAATGCTGTAATTCTGGGTGAGTAGTGATGGGAGGTAGGAAGTGTGGGCAGGGACAGTAGACGCCACTTCCCCAGAGAAGGGAGGGGGAGAACAACCTGCAAAGGGGAAGCCGAGGGGGCTTTTTCGAGGGGGCCAGAGTGATTCCACTAGAGAGAGAAAGGCTACTTGATGGGGCATCCTTATGACAGAGGTGCACAGACACATCCGTCTACACGCAGGCTAGATGGTGACGGTCTGGAGCATACAGGCCTTGAGTTCAGAAGCACCTGTTAACGTGGAGCTCAGTTTAATGCAGATTGCTGGGCCTCATCCCAAAATTTCTGACTCAACAGGTCTGGGGTGGGCCCATGAGCCTGCATTTCTAACACATTTCTGGATGCTGCTAATGCTGTGGTCAGGAATGCCACTTGGAGAACCTCTCTATTCCTGAGTCAAATGTTGGCTCTATACCTGTGGACCATGGAAAGCTACTGAAGTATAAATCTCAGCTCACTCATCTGGGCAGTGGTCTAATGACCACGACCACTTCAGGGGCTGGTGTGGGGTCACATGTAGGCTTACACTAACATTTGCAGGGGCTGGGGCAGAGAGCAAATACAAATACGTACATGTGAAAAAATTGTGACTTTGGCTGCAAACTCATCAATCTGTCTCTTCTCCTACCTTCAGGACTATGATGTCTTTACAACTATGGTCACCCTCAGGCTACTGCTCCTTGAGAGGATATGGCAGCTGTTTCTCTGAGGCTGCTTCCACAGATAGGTCTCAGTGAGGCCACAGGCCACCAGGTGGGACTCAAGGGAATAATTTTCCACTGAAATGCACCTGGGATCTTCACTAGACCTTTAAGGCAAATGGTCTGAGTCTGACAGAGAGCCACCCCAACCCTTCACTGGGGTCACTGGGGCCACCAGCTGCCTGTGTAACCCTTGCAGCAATGGCAGACTATGCACACCTGGGCTAACCTGGCATTGGGATATTTTTAAAAATATATGTTTATATATACATTTTAGAGAGGAAGGGCGAGAGAGAGAGTGAGAGAAACATTGATGTGAGAGAGAAACATCATTCGTTGCCTCTGGTACACACTCCAACTAGGGATGGAACCTGCAACCTGGGTATGTGCCCTGACCAGGAATCGACATGCAACCAACTGAGCCACACCTGCCAGGGCAGGAACTTTTTATTACAGCAAGATAGACTGTGAGGAGGTGGTGAGGAAGGCTGGGAGGGAGGCAGTGATGATGAGGGACCAGCTGGCTCTGCTTGCTTGTTTGTTTTCCCCTTGGGAGGGGGGCCCAGGAAAGGTGAAGCTTAGGAAGATGTCCTCCAGGGAGTCCTAGCTGGCTGAGTAGTCATCCAGCATGTACTTCTTGGCTTGCTTTAGAGTGCCAAATGCCTGTGGGAAGGGAGGAGGCCATTGTGGATGGTGGGCACAGGGGAAGGGAAAGAAGACAGCAGAGGGTGGAAAGAGGGAGGGCCTTTGGGGTAGTGATAAGTCTCCTCAAAGGCCCATCCCTCTTTCAGCTGCCCCCAGAGGACTCCCAGCAAGTCAGCCCTGCAGAATTCAGCTGTCTGCAATCTCAGGGAAAGGGACCCTGGTTGGGAATGATGCCAGGAAACAGAGGTCCCGGCTGGGCCCCTGGCTTGCTGTGTGACTCTGAGTATGTGGCATCCCCTGTCTGGGCCTGCTGCCCTCTCTGTGAAATGAGGAGGAGCTGATCTCTGAGGTCTGTTCCAGTCAAATATCTTATATTCTATTAAATCCATATGAATGTTGCCATGGAGACATCAGAGAGGAACTGCAGCAGCACTGAACATGACTTCCACCCAAAAGAGAAAACACCAGAAAGGGGGACATCAGAGCTGTGCTCCCTCCACTGCCCGGGTATATGCTCACCTTTACCCAGCTGAGATCGCCAAGCAGGTGGTGATGGCCCATCCCTTGGTGCTCATCTTCCAGGACACTGCCTGCACAAAGGAGAGACCATGTGCCCATGAGGGCCCAGATGAAGGGCCAAAGGAGGGTGGCCTGGGCCCACAAAATTTCAGCTCTCATCCCAGGGGTCAGGGATGTGGGACTTGGCAGGGGTGAGGCACAGATGCCCTTTGTGAAGCTCACACACCTGGGAAGGGAAGGTCCACAAATGCCTTGAACTCCTGCAGCGCCTCCTGCTGCCCGTCGCTCCTGACCTTGGCCCGCAGGGAGTAGCCGCTGCCAAACTTGCTCTTGAGGTGCTGTGGGCTGCCCAGGCACTTAAACTGACCCTGCACCATGATGGCCAGCCGGGTGCACAAGGCCTCACATTCCTCCATGCTAGAGAGAGGGGATGGAGGCCTGACACAGGGCTGGGGTATGCTGACACCCACCCTCCATGTGCAGATGGGAAGGTGTCAACACCCAGATCAGGCTCTTCCTGATTCCCATGCTCAGAGTGTGGCCCACATGCTAGAGCCTGGGGAATCTCACAGATTCTTTACCNGAGTGTGCCCTACATGCTAGAGCCTGGGGAATCTCACAGATTCTTTACCATCAGATGTCAGGTTTCTCTGCACCAAGCCCCTCCCTCCCATAGCCCCTGTCACTGCTCATTCATTGACCCGCAGGGACCCTGGCTCTGCCTATGGGGGGTGATGACGATGGCCTTGCCGGATTCACATGCCCTCCCCACAGTGTCCCAGAGCAGGCGCCGGGCCACAGTGAACGGTTCGTCCAGAAAGATGACCACAGGCTCTCCAAGGA